ATTACATATATTAATTATAATGTTAACTCTTAGTAACCCTTATTTTTGATGAAAAATCTAGGATGTTAAAGTAACTTTGAGCTGTAATCAGTTCCCAATTTTTATGAGCATATCTAAATATCTTTAGTTTTTTATATCACATAAAAATAAGATGTCAAAGTATACAAACTCAAACCTGTGTCTGACAATTGTTTTGGTATTCTAACTTACTTATAAAGAACTCAGATGTTTTATTATCTTATTTAATTCAGCATAATATGACCTTAAGATTTTAAATTACTGAAAATTTTAGTTGGGCAGAAAAACAATTGTTTAGGAGCAGAGATGGAAGGAGAGGCAAGAAAGGAAGAGTTGACTCTAAATATTTTGAATGTGCCATTTTCTTTTTTGAGTCTCTTTTAACTTTAAATCACCCTCTTTAAGGGAGGCTAGAGAGATTTTTGATCCCATTTGAAAAACTTGGAACATCAATTATAGCATTACCTTCATTGTTGGAAGGTTTCATGGCCTCTTTGTTTTAATTTAGTGCGCAGATAAACTAGAGGTCTCCTAAGATTTTATTGTGGCCCACAAAGCTTTAAATCCTTTAGGTTATATTTTGAACATTTACAAGAATTTTTTAGTTTTTTAAGCATGTTAGTTACTAGCGTCTCTGATGGTGGACGAGGAGAGACCGTTTTCTTGGAACTAAAGTTTTTATAGCTGCACTTAGCTTTATGAGAGTGTCCTCACAAACCTTATGGACCAGCTAAATCCAACCAGGTTCCCCCATCAAACCCAGGACCTACAAAAATGTTTTCTCCAGGGGCCAGAATGGAGAGAACCAGAGAAACTGGGGTAATCACTCCCCCAAAACCTGGGGCCAACAAAGACATTTCCTTTGGGGTTGGGAATAGAGGCAACTGTAACTGGGGAGAAATGAAGGGAAGGGGTGGGGAGAAATAAAATCTCTGAGATCTTTATCCTAAAAGCGGGCGATCTTGCATCCAGGGGAGTTTACCTGAGTTTCTCCCAGCGAGGTCAGGGAGACAACTGAGCTATCGATGGGTTTGTGTAGATGTCAGTGTGTTGCCCTCCTATCAGGCTGGGGAAACTGGGGGTCTCCCTGGGTCCCTTAGCAGTTGTCATTTGTTAACTAAAAAAAAAAATATTGAGGTTTACTTTGGAAAAAAGAGAGCTTTATTTCTCATAAAGGGCAGCAACCTGTTGGGCTGCCATTTCGACAGGTTGGGAAACAGAGCCCGGCCAGAAGCCAGGTATGCTTGCTTCAAAGAAGAGAGAAAAGGTAACAGGATTTTATACTGAGCAGGATGGTCAAACGTACATACTTAACAAGCTATAGGATGATTCATCAATATTTACGAAGGGAAATTATGCACATTCAATTGTTCTTTGTCTCTCCTGTCCTGCCATGGCTGGGAACTAAGTTTAAAGGTGTTTCCAGGGTCCCCCTGGCCAAGTGGGGGTTAGTAGAAGGCTTAGGATTTTATTTTTAGTTCAAACACTGACTGAATGGCTGCTCCCAAAGAGCTCCGGTCTTTGTGGAAACACATCCTGGATCACGGTCCTGAGCTAGCGCTAGACTATAGCCAAGACCAATGTCTCCAACATCTGTCTATGTGTTTCTTCTTCTGGGCATGTTTATTTGGGCACGTTTATGGAAACACAGTGTTCCTGCTGCTGGAGAAGACTAGGCACGCTGAGACCTGCCTTTTATCCCATCCAAATCAATGCCATGAAACCGTGGTCATCTCTACCTGTGGTCTGTGGATCACCTACCCCCTGGTCCCCTCCATGGGACCACTCGAGTCTTCTGTGTTTGATTTGCTTTGGCTCTATCCTCCTTAGTCAAATCAGCTGAATATCTGACTTTTTTTTTCTTTTACCACTTTGGGTGGGTAAGTATTCTGCTTAGAAATTATCATAGAATGCTTCTGTTTCCTAGAAAAAGTAACTTCTCCATGTCATTCTCTTACTCCATTCCCATTATTGCCTGTTAAAATCTTGCCCATCCTACAAGAACGTGATTAGATATTTATTTCTCTAGGAAGCCTTCCCTAATAACTCTAGCTTAAAGGAATTTCTTCTCTTGGTTGATTATGAATACTAAGTTCCCTTGGTGTTACCTGGAGGGAACTTTTTGGTAAATAAACTTTTTATTACAGTTTTATTAAACAGTTTTATATTTATAAAATCACTGTGAAGATAGTACATAGAATTCCTGTATATACCACACCCAGTTTCCCCTGTCATTAACATCTTATATTAGTATAGTACATTTGTCAAAATGAATGAACGGATCTTGACACATTAACTGAAGTCCATACTTTATTCTGATTTCCTCAGTTTTCCCCTACTGTCCTTTTTCTGTTCTAAGATCCCCTCCAGGATGTAACATTACATTTAGTCATTGTGTCTCCTTAGACTCCCTTAGCTGTGATAGTGTCTCAGAATTTCTTGTTTTTGATGCCCTTGACAGTTTTGAGGATTACTGATCAGGAATTTTGTAGAATTTCCCTCAACTGGTATTTGTCTGATGATTTTCTCATGAGTACACTGGAGCAATAAGCTTTGGGGAGGAAAACCACAGAGGTAAATTGCCATTCTCATCACATGATATCCAGGACACATACTATTAATATAACTTATCAATGTCGGTGTTAACCTTGATCAGCTGACTTGAAATGTTTGTCAGATTTCTCCACTGAAAAGTGACACTTTTTTTCTGTCTCCATTTTCATATTGTACTCTCCTGGAGAAAGTTATGTGCAGCTTACACTTAAGGAATTGAGGGGAGGGCAGTAGTAATGCTTCATCTCCTTAAGGGAGATCATCTACATAAATTATTTGGAATTCTTCTGCATGGGAAATATGTTTGTTCTCTTCATTCATTTATTCAATCATTTATTTACATCATCATGGACTCATGGATATTTATTTTATACTTTGGGTTATAATCCAATACTACATTATATTCTTGCTCAAATTGTTCCAGCTTTGGTTCCTGGGAGCTCTTTCAATTGGCTCCCATGTCCCTTTTACATCCCCCATCATTGTTTTTGTGTATATACTTTCTCAGTTTCTGGCACTAAATGATACTCCAGGCTCATCTTGTATATTTCCTGTCCCAGACCTATAATCAACCATTTTTCTAAGGAACTCTGGTTCCTTTTATTGGAGAATGGTATTAGAAACTAAGATCTGGGCATTAGGTTTGCTCACTGCTACTGGGGTGTCATTGCTTCTAGGCCCCTCAGCTGATAAAATATATATGTGTATACTCACCCATGCATATATGCATATCTATTAATATTTCTATATGTAACTATCTGTATCTCTATTAAGCTATACATGAGTCTGCCATCTCCAAATCTAATCTATTTTCACATAAATCATTCTGGGGGAACATAAAAATACAGAATCTCAAGTACCATTTCAGAGATAATGAATCAGGATAAATATCGAACTTATATATTTTGAAAGGCAAACACATTAAAATTATTGAATGCTTTTCTTGGTTGAATAATGGAATCAATATCGAAATGATGAAAATATCAATTGACATAGTAAATATAAGTTTTACTTTACCACTGTTCACCATTTGGGTATTTATTGTAGCAAAATTTTGTCTCTGACTATAGTTTTGCTGATTTTAATTTCATAAGTGTATGATCTAATAGAGTTTGAAAATTACTATATTAGGAGATTATTGAATGTACCATTCAACTCCCAAAGTACCCCAAATGTAGAAATAAACACTGTGAGAACACAAAATTAACTGTGAAAATTGTGTTCATTCATGTTGGTGGTATCTGCCTCACTCATGTCTTCTCCTTCTCTTTCTGTTTTCTTGGATGGTTGGTGGGCTGCAGACTTCAGTTCCGATACCATCTACTGTGATGATCCTGTTTCCCAGAATGCCCTTGGTGCTGCTCCTGCTGCTGCCTATCTTGAGTTCTGCAAAAGCTCAGGTTAATCCAGGTAAGGCAGCCCTGACTCAGCGCCATGCTAGAAGACCAGCTGAATGTCTTTAAGCCCATCAATGTTCGTCTTGGGAAAAGCCCTGACAAAAGGGCCCAAGGTCTTTTTAAAAAAAACAATAAAACTCCATGGTGAAACATGGGCAAACCAAGAACAGAAACTGATATACTTTTTATATATATACATTATATATAACCTGTTGAATATTGTGAAACATTTTCTGATACTGAGTAGGTGGAGTAAGAGGGCATTTTTTTAAAAATGGGTGGTGGAAAAAGCAACCATTTGCTTCTGCATCTTTTGGGAAAAATAGGAGAGAATTTTTAGGTGCTTTAGAGAACTTCTGCAGGTTGGTTTACCAGTTGTTTCTAGCTGACTTGACCTGGATTTTACTTGGATGCCCTGTTATGCTTTGGGGACCCAGGTTCTGTGGGATCTCAGGCAGGTTCTCTTTCCAACAGGGTGTGGCCATGCTCAAAATAGAAGCATTAAGGGAATCTTTTAAGCCAAAATTTGTGGGCTTTTTTTTTAATATTACATGTATTTTTAAACTTTAAATTGAAGCACGTAATTTTGTCATTTATCTATTATACAGTAATGCTTCTTAACATCCTATCCAAAGTTCAATGCCTTAAAACAAGCATTTCTTTTGTTCGTGGCCAGGCTTGGTTGAACTGTTCTCTGGTTTGTCTTGATTCATTTGTGTGTCTGGGAGTCGCTGGCTATTGGTTTATCTAGGATGGCCCTGGCTCTGATGACTGAGACAACATGGTCGTGCTCTGCTTCATCCTCCAGCAGACTAGCCTGGGTATGTTCTCATGGAAATTTCACAGGAACAGAGCAGAAGTGGGAACATTTGAGCATTTTTCAAGCCACTGTTGAAATCATATTTGCTACATCTCATTGGCTAAAGAAAGTCATGTGGCCAACCCCAGCGTCAGAGTGGGAAAACACAAAAAAATTACATGGTAAACTCTGGATACAGGAATGGGTGAAGAACTAGAGTTATTTTTTTCATTCTGCCACAAATGTAAATACAGAAAAGTATACATAGCTTAAGTGTTCAATTTGATGAATTTTACAAACTGAATACATCCATGTAAACAGTACCCAGATTGAGAAACAGAACTGTACCAGCACTTCAGAAGCTCTCTTCTTGCTCTTCCCAGTTACTTCTCCTCAGCCACACCCCAAAGGTAACCATTATCCTGCTTTCAACAACATAGACTAGTTTTGCCTGTTTTTGTACTTTACATAATTGGAATCATATGATGCATCAATACTCTGTGTCTGGCTTCTTTAACTCAACATTTTGTTTATGATATTCCTCCTATTGTTGCATGCAATTGTTAACTGTTCATCCTCGTTGTTGTGCAGTATTCCTTTGTTTGAATATTTTATTTAGCCAGTCTACTATAGAGGGGAATTTGGATGGTTTCCAGTTTGGGCCTATTATGAATAAAGCTCTTATAATCATAGAATGCATAGAATTTTTGGTAGAGATATATACTTAGTTCTCTTGGGTATATACCTAGAAGAGGAATTTCTGGTTCGTAAATAGCATAGGATCTACTATTCTGCATGAAAAAAATAATTTTTCAAAGTGATTTAGCAATTTACCATCCCATGTCAGTATAGGAGAGTTTCAGTTATTCCACTGGATTTGGATTCTTGAGGATGCTTTCATTTTATCCTCCTCATAGCATAAGGATACATTTGTGAAAAATGCTGACTCTATTCCCCTCACAAAATTTTCCTGGCCATGGGCTATTCTTTATACCCTCAGTAGGAAATAATGATCAAAACTCCTTAAAAATCAAAGAATTATTGATCGAATGAGTCCAGTGCCTTGTTACTACTTTCTCATAATAGGCTCAGCTGGTGCATCTCAGATCTGAACTTGGACACCGTTTTTTGATTGTTTGCTCTGTATTCCTCTCACCCAGTTGTTGAGGTTTGGTTGCCTCCTGCTACATTTTCCCTGCCCTGAGCTCCAGAAAGAGTGCTGTGTGTAGATAGAATGGTAGGGTGTTTTGGTGCTAGGCATGCTCATGCAGACTGGCATGCCATGAGGACATTTAAGTGACTAAACCAAGAGGCCAGCCTTCTGTGTTAGAGTACACACTGCAGCCCTGGAGCAGGAAATGGGCTGTTTGAAGACAGCAAATAATCATCTTAATTTTTTTTTTTTTCTATTTCTAGTATCAGGTATTTCTGTTGGCTCTTTCTGCCAGGGAAAAAGAAATAAAGGTGTTGGCGTGCAAAGATCTTTATAGGAACACAGAACATGTTGAGGGCTAATCCTTCTCTTTGCCATTTCTTCCTATTACACAAGTTAAACCAGAGATAGGAATTTGAGGCAGATGAGAAATTTTCATTCATCATCAGTGTTAAAGGGTCTAGTCATGAAATCTGGGGCTCCTGGAATCTTATGGCTTGCGTATTGTTAAACAAAGAGTAGTTATATATAATAATAAGTGCATGTTGATTTACGGATGACTCTTCAGCAGTCTTTACTGGTGTCTGCTGAAAGACTGAGTAAATCCTTGGTCAGTTAGGTTTTCCCCACAGGTTGGCCACATGGTATAACAAATGTGTAAGCCAGGAGACCTGGGTTATAAGCAAAGCTGATATACAGCCAATTTTTAAAATATTGAAATATATTTTAATTGATTATTGGATATAAAATATTTGTTGGCAAATAGTAACTGGGCTAAGCATTAAATTCAATTAATAATATAAAATAAAACAAACTTATTAGTTTAAGCTCTTTGCTGAAGACTTTACAATGACTATTGGTCAATGAGCCTTCAGTATTAGCATGACTTAGTTGATAATAGAGATTCATGTCTAAGCAGACACCAAAAGAGGATGAATAGTCTTTATATTTAAAGAAATTTTCTACAATTTGAGACCATAAGTGTCCTACAAATGTCATTCCGTGGAGGCTGCGAAGTAGTGGTTGTGTGATACAGATCATTGGCTAAGGCATGAAGCCTGCAGAGCTGTTGGATCATTGCTCTAAAGCGTCTGAATTTTGACAAAGCAGGTGGTGAGGCAGGTGGTGTTCGTGGCATTTCCAGTAATGGCAATATTGAAGGTGGCATTGTCAGTGGGGCCTGCAGTATAGGCTAAGCAGGTCTATATGGGAAATGCTGACTTGTAGGTGTGTGTACACAGTCCTGAAGTGCGCACAGTGTGCTTAGCTATCTTTCAGCTGCAACAGTGCGCCAGGAACTGGAACCTAATGATTGTCAATCCCATGGAGAAGCTATTGGAAGAATTTGACAGTTTCTTATGTCCAAATCATGGGTCAGAAGTATCATTTAGCTGGTGACATCTACATCAAACAATCATATCCACAATTTCTGAAAATCATTTCTACAAATCACCAAATGATTTTGATATTATTAGAATATTTTGATGAATGATTTGAAGTTAATTTAGAAAAAGTATTTAGCTTACTTATTTTGAGTAACAACCCTCATGATTATCCTGGCTTAGTCATAAATCGGTTTTGATACTGAGCAAGTTGTTAGATGTCTCTTTGTATTTCCTTAATCTTTTTACCTGTAGTAAGATGAAGTTGAATTACATAATCTACGAGATGCTTTCTGCTGCAAATTTGCTGTGATTTTATGGTGTGGGAGCTTTATTTCTCATACTGGAAAGTCTGATAGGCTTTGAGCTTAGAAGCATAGCCCCTGAACTTGCATGGCTGTTCTTTGTAAGAAAGACCGCTTGTCCCCAACTCCCTCACTTCCCAGGCTCAGGGATCTGAGGTCTAAACTTCAGGAGAATCTTGCCTTTGGGGCTAAACATATAGGGATACCAGATAACTTTTTTTTTTTTTTAATTTAAGACCTAAAACTCTACCTTGTGGCAGGTGAGTGCAGAAACCCTGCCCCAGCCTAAACCAGGAGCTTTATAGTACTAGAAGCCATTCTGCCCCAGGGCACTTTTTTCTCTAGAAGTAGGGCCAAGAAAAGGCATTTCAGGCAGAAGAAATAGCATGTGCAATGTCTGGGAGGAGGGAGAGGTGATGAGTTGGTTGAGGGGTAATGAGGTGGATGGAGGGTAATGAGTGAGAGACTCAGAGAGGCTGTGTAGGGAACCCCTTCTCCTGCAGGGTCCTTGGGTCAAGTTTCCCCTCATTTCCAACTTGGGCTAGAGCTGCCAGACTTGACAGAAGAACTAAGGGCATCTCCATGGGAAAGAGAAGTCTTTAGACTTCACAGTCACATGCAAGAATGCACCGGGCTGTAGTGTTTGTTTGACCAGACACCAGGGTCAGCCTTCTCTAGGGGTCATAAAACCAATGTTTCAACGGCCAGTGGGAGACCAGCACCTTATGTTTCCCAGATAGTAGGATGAATACAAGTATCCTGATTATCCCAAAAACCTAGCCCAGGGGTCTGAGGTCCCAGGGATCCACCTAGTCAACTAGGGGACTGTTGTGTATAAAGAGCACAGGGGCAGTTGGCCTCATTCTCCTGGCTTGGCCTGTGACAGCTGCCTGTGCTTGAGAAAGGGAGAAACATCCGTTCTCCCCAATAGGCAGACCAGGCATTTAGGTCCATGGCACAGATCCAGGGCAGGGCAGTGCTGGGATGTCCCATTTTCATACCTTACTTTCCCCTAATAGGAAGCAAGCAACTTGCTACCAGATCAGAGCCCTGGAGGAGGGGAGGTGGTCCTCCTTTAGTATCCAGAATGTGTTCACTTTGAAAAAGAGTGGCAAAGACATTCAGGGTTTGGGATTCAGAGAGGAGGAGCTCTTCTCCTGGTCCCAAATTTGTTTTAGGTTCACCACTGTGGTTTTGGTTTTTTCCAGCATCAATCCCACATGCCAGAGAGTTCTTAGGATCTAGGCAACTAGTATTCTAGATTATGCATGTTGGAATGGATCTTAGAGATATCTAAGTCCCGCTTTCTCATTTCACAGATGAGGGAACTGGGAGTCAAAGCAGGAGAGTGACTTGCCAATGCTCACACATTTA